ATACAAATTAAGTCTTTATATAGTCTCTATGTAATTACTTATATAAATTATTTAATAAAGATATGAGCAAGGCCTCATCTTAAAAAAAAAAAAAAAGAGTTCACTATAGCAGACATGAGTAGTGATTGTCTAATAAATATAAATTAACTTACTCGAATAAATGCAACTTTTAAATGTAATATTAAACTAATTGTATTATAATAACTTGACCAACAAGTTGCTACATATCATTTAATCCCTCCACCTACAATATTATTAGCTTGAATTTCTTTTTCAAGTGCTAAATTAGCTATATACAATGATTTAAAAAACTAGGCAGCTAATGTTGCTTGAGATAAAATACATTTAGCAAAAGATTCTTTTATGATATCTTTGCAAATAAGATTTAGCCGATGGGCTATACATGACATGTTCATTATATAAGAAAATTTTTGTGTAATTATTCACCTTGCTGCTATAACGTTTGCACCACTATCACTAACTACTGCACAAATTTTTTTTGTCCCAATTTGAGTAATTATTGTTTCAATTTCTTGGGCAAGAAATTCTGCTGTATGTCTTGAATCAGAATAATTATATAAAGTATATAAATGCTCTTTTCAATCAGGTGTTAAAAGTAAAAAATTCCAGATTGATCGGCCTCATAGATTTGTCCAACCATCAAGCACTATAAAAAAATAAATATAAATAATATTATATATTATATTTAAATTATAAAAAATAAAATTTAATAATACCAAAGGTAATATTATTTTTAGTTTGTAATTCAGTTTCAAGTTTTGCTTCTACTTAAATAAGCTGCTTACTAAAAATTCTTCTTGCAAGTGTTTTAGAACTTGGGATTTTAAAACCTGGTCTAAGGTCCTGAAGCCACACACAAAATATTTCATTTTCAGCAATATTGAACGAAAAACTTGCACAAGCAAATGCACGACACATGCCATTTTCTAATTGATCTTGTCTTTTTGAAGATAGTTTTTAATTTTCAATATATTTAAAAATATTTTCTTTATTTTTCAGATCAGTTTTTCATTTCTTATTTGCATTTTGACTTTCATTATCTTCAGCTAATTTCTTAAAATAAAAAAATTAAGCATCTAATGGAGAATTAGGACAATTATGCACAATATACAATTTGAAAGTTGCTATGTCTCCACACTGCTATTTTTCTAGATAGTATTTACAACTGGCCAAATAATGTCCGCCTTTTTTTTTTCTATTTGATTAAAATGATTCCAAACAGAATTAAAGGGTTGGCCAGATGCTTTTTGTAGTTTATTACTACTGGATCTTTCAGACAGGCACTAAATGCTGAAGTAGATTCTTTATCATCAATATCGTTAAATGATATTTTTAAAAAAAGATTATCATTACTATCTAATGTGAAATGTAAAATTTATTGATCACTAAATTAGTATTAGTAACGTTTCAGGAATAATACCTGATCAGTGAACTCGGGTATCCTATAAAAATTAGATTTAAGGTGCCTGAATAAGTAATCGCTAATATGTTTACAAAATCCTCCTATGTGTATATTCCTGTATTCCACAAACATCTGCATCAGCAGATTTTTTGATTATCTTCAAACACCTTTTTAAGTATTCATCATATAATGTTCAATTTTATATTTGCCTTTTTTAGCTCCAATTATTTATAATACAGTAATATTATGTGTTTTATTAATATTTTTATATCTATCTCATCGACTCCTATTTAATTAAAATATTCAATTAGAACTATGTATATATCAGAGTCTGATCATTAATAAAAATACTTTATATTTATACTTTGCTGCTTCAATTCTTTTACTATAATAACTCCCAAGATTGTTTGTATCCATAATGCTTCCATATTTATAAATATTCAAATGTCTCTATGTTCATCCTTTTTAACCTCAATAATAATTAGGTCTTTGTAATAAATGAACACCTTTTAATTATTATTTTTTTATTCTAATATCATTCTCAGCATTAAATGGACTATGAGTATTTATCATGATTTTTGATAATATTTGAATACTTTATATTTTTTTTTTAACTCAAATTCCTTATGCTATATCATAAATTCCATTGAAATTCTTAGCAATAATATGGTTCACACATTATCTATTTTAACAAATCTTTAATAATATTTGAATATCTTATACTCATTCCTGCATTCTTTCCAACTCCAATTTTGTACTATAATCAAATACTCTGCTTTATCATCTACTTTGGCAGGCCGTTGATAATAGACAAATGCTTATATTCATTCTTTTCAACACAAGTTCAATATTGATAACAATGATCAATATTAAATGTTTTATCTGTATTATTTATTTTGGTATATTTAAAATATTCCATTTTCATTCTTTTTTTGCCTTAATTTATCCTCGATAACAATATCCATAAATGCTTTTTACATATTTATTTTCTTTATAATAAAAAAACACTATCTTATGATTATGTTTGTCTTATAACAATAACCCAGTATCGAATAAGACTTCATTATTTTCCCCTTGCTAAACGACACCCATAACATATGCCTTCAGTCACACCCTCACAGTTATGTAACAATATTTATTTCATATTATTTGTGAAGAGATACTTATTAATTCGCTAAATCCTTCAAATTTATAACAACCACTATGATACATACTACAAATACATGATTATGAATATGGTAAAATAATATGCTTAACAATAAACTCTGCATGCCTAATAACAAAACTCTACTGATTTAACCGATATATCCTTTTAACCCACCAGGGTCCAATTGCGGGTATTATGATTAAATACTATTTTGTCAACCAGTAAGAAACTGCAGAAAAGTAAAGACAAAAATGGTAATATTGGTTTAACCACTCTCTTAGTGATACAAATCAAAAATTGATTAGTTGACTGAGCTTTTTAGATATATCGACTAATCAATTAGTTGCAACTAATCAACTAAAGAATTAATTGATTAGTTGCAAAGAATCAATTGAAAAATTATTTATTTACTTAATAAAGTAGTTGCAACTAATCGATTAATCGATTAATTGACCAGTTTAAATTAATCGATTAATTGAAATTACAACTAATTGACCAACTGAAAAAATAATGGTCAAAAATTTTGACAATTTGTAACACGTACATACATGGATAAATTCTGGGTTATCCTGTTGATTTTTTAAGCAAAAACAAAATCTGCTAATATTTATTTTTATTAAAATTAGAACTTAAATTTTGTCTAAATCTGATTTTTATCTAAAAATTAACAGATTTTATGAAAATAATCCAGAGTTTATATATAGTTTATATAAACATTTTGTAATAATCATCAATTAGAGTAAATTTTTATTTTATTTTATATAAATTTAGTAATATAGTATATACTATTTCTATATTTTTCTGTAGTAATAATTACTTTATATAGTAATAATTACTACACATAGTAATAATTACTACACATATTAATAATTACTACACGTAGTAATAATTACTACATGTAGTAATAATTACTACACATAGTAATAATTACTACATAGTAATAATTACTACACATAGTAATAATTACTACATGTAGTAATAATTACTATATGTAGTAATTATTATTACAATTACTACTTTTTGTAGTAAATAATTACTATATTACTATATTTGTGATTTGAATTATGGCACTATTCATTATCATATGTGTTTTATATTCAGTCATTCTTTCTAAGAACCTTTTATAATAAGCTACTACATCTGTATGCTCGTGCCCATCTATATATATTCTTTTTTTGACTTCTACATATTCAAACCCAAATGCTTCTAACCAATTTCTAGCCATTCTTATACATATCATTAGTGATAGATCAAAGCAAAGATTTGAAAATATTTTTTCATTTACATGATTTGCCAGTTCATTTGCATTAACACACAATTTGTTTAATCAAAGAAAAGACTCAATCTGTATTAAAATATCATTATTCTACAAAAAACTCTAGGTTTTTGAATGTTTTTCTTGTTTTGAAATTGGAATTGCACCATTCTGAATATAATTTGTTGCTTATGCATGTATGCAACAGGCATGATAAACACCCTTTCTAGCTGCTTCTGCTATAATAGTACTTGCTTCAACTCTTTTCTACAAGATGCAAATAAGATAACATTGTATAAAGGTGAGCTTTCTCGATCTTACTATACTCATCACTTTTGAATTCATTTTCTAATTGTTTGATTGTATTGTTTAAGTTTTTAGAAGATATTAAATTGTGGTCTCTAACAATCTCAACCTCAAAATCATCACTATCTAAACTAGTTGGTTCATTATTTATACTTGTATTATCACTATTATTCACACTTGTACATGCATTCACTATCTATTAAAAAAAAAGATAATTCAAATAAATATTTTTCATATTACTGTAAAGTACAAGCCATTTGAAAAATAACTTACTGATGACCAAAATGATTCTAGCTTGGATATTCCAACTGCAGCTTCCTATTATAATTATCTTCAATTCCTTTTTGCTCTTACTGAATTTCTAATATACATGAGCAGCTGATAATTAATCACTTCTGGGACTGCTTGCAACAATCTTGTAATAACATTATTTGCTTTTTCAGTTCTCAAAATACTTATTCCTGTATCACTACTCTTAATATTATTAAGTTCGTCATCACTAATGCTACAAGTATCCTCAGCGTTATTAAATTTGTCATCACTAGTGCTAAAAGTTTTTAAAACTTTTACCTGGTGCTGATTCTTAGATTGTTTTTGTATCATAATCTCTTGTAACTAAGCCCTCCTTTTAGATAATCATACTATTTTTTAATAATGGGGCTTTGCAAAGCTAATTAATGATTGCTAGGTCCTAAATACCAGCTTTTATGTAAGTACTTTATATTTTATTTTAAATTGATTATATTTTATTTTTATTTTACTTACGTTCTTTCTTTTATCGAACTTCCTTTGATACAACTGTAAATGAGAAAGAAAGACTTAAACTGTCTTCACAAATTTATCCTCTTTAAATATAACATTTTTATTACATCATTCTTACAAAATAACATGTGAATCTATTTAATTATGTGATAGAGACGATTCTTTATAGAGGCTTTAAAGATACTAATATCCTAATTTAAATATTCATACTGTGCTATTTCCAGATAAGTATAGCTGATTTCAATATAACATCATACATTCGACTATATTTTTTTCTTCTATCTTCTACCTTATTATATGCTAATTCAATATCATTCTTTATTTGATATCAAACAGGTTGGTAAGTGGGCTTTTACTCATGCAGACTCTAGCTTTAACTTTTCTTAATTGTAACATCATATATTTGACTATTTTTTTTTTCTCCTACTGCCCACCCTATTACATGCTAATTTAATATTTGATTTCAAACTGGTTGATAAGTGGGCTTTTTATCTATACAAACTCTAGCTTAATTATTTATTTTACCCTCAATCACATACAACATTATTATGACATCAATGACACCTTTTTAATTTCTCTGATTTTATTTATTTAGAATTGTGGAAAAGAAAATATAAATTTACTGATCAATTTATATAACTACCAACTATGATTACATATTTAATACATTATTACAAATTCAGTTATAAGATTATACATAAACTCTGCGATAGGGTTTTTTGATCTAACTGATATAGGCTTATAACAAACTAACCAATCATATTAAACTATCTTAACAGTTTTTTTCTTATACATTCTAGCCAATAGGAGGCTTTATTTTTATATCATGTAAGCAACCAAATTTTGGTTTTATTTAATAACATTGACTAACTTTAAAACAATTCAGCCAAATAAAATTTTAATTAACTAAAAAATAAGCTTTATAACTTTGCTCTTTAGGTTTGATTTTACTATTTTATGAAGAGATTTGGTTAATATCTACTTTAGTTTTTTATTTATAAGCTTTTAAAAATCATGTATTTTATATATTGATTAAAGGATGCCCACACTATAGTAAAAATCAAATTGGATGAATTAACTTGTATATTTGCCATTAAGTAAAATAACTGCAATAGCAATAATATTAGATAGCTCAGTTTGTTATGATGCTATCCAGAGAGTGTTATCCATATAGGCAGGACTAAGCAATTGATTCTGGTATGATTAGTAGTTTGTTGCTTGAGATTGGTAAGCCAAGAAGCTTCTAATATATAGCCAGAATAGGATGAATATATGTAAGATATAAGTGGGTCATAGTAAATACATTACAGAAGAGAAGTTATAATTTTGCCTTGGTCAATACTATTAAGTACTTGGTATGGAGAAGTTAGATCAAAATTAGTAATAACTTCATTTTGGTGATTAGTTAATAGGTTGATAAGGAAATTAATAATAGCAGAATGAAGAGCAAATTTAGAAAATGAGTGTTGAAAGAGGGCAAAGTTTACAGAGTCATATGCCTTACTCATATTCTGAGAAAGAACCCATATTTCTTTGAAGTTGCTGTTGGCATCTTCAATTAGGTTGTTAAGAATATGAATTTGGATAGATATACTATTGCCTGGTAATGCAATGTAATTGTAGAGGGGATAATATGGAGTACTGTGTAAAACTTTGCTGAGTCTATTAGTGAGGATTATGGTATAGATTTTGTGAGTATGTTTAATAAGGCTATTGGACAAATAAAATTTAGATTGCCATCAAAGGTATTGTTTTTGTGGATGGAAAAAATTCTTCCCTTTTTTTATTGCTTGGATATGTAGTTATTAGTTAAACAGTAATTGAAGAAAGCAGTAAGAGAAAAATACAGAAGTGGTTAAAATGTGGTCCCGATTTTTGTGTTTGTTGAATCTTGTAAAATTTTAACATAAAAATCAAAATCTTCACATGTAATAAAAGTTTTATGCTGTCTATTAACTGACTTACTGTCAAGATATTTAACAAGTAAGTTATCAAATGCACTACAAGACAAGAAAGATAGTCTTGAGGTTCAACCATTGTATAGTAGTTACTAAAAAAGAGTAAATTACTAAAAAGAGTAACAAGAGTGAATACATAAAGAATTTTATTAACTAATACATAAGAACAAATTATATAATTTTAATTTATTTAACTTTTATGTTAATGACATAATTAATGTCATTAAATGATTATATTATTCAGCATTTGCAGACTCAAAAATCATTTTAGAATCAACTTAAGTTAAATTTGGATTTCATAGCAACTTGATCTATATTTGGAATTTAGTTACAACTTAAGTAGATTCTAAACCTATTAGGATTCCATGCCAGCGTACAACATATACAGTACTTGTCACTTTATAACTATCATTCTTATTTTCACTTATCTAAAAAAATTGCTGTTTGTAAATATTGTATAATGAATATATAACATTGTATTTTGTTATCAAAATAAATAAGAATTAAAAAGAATAAATACAAGACATTTAAAGCTACTAAGATAGGAAATGTTAAAGCAATAAATAAGCAATAAAATAAAATCTAAAAAAATTTGTTCTTGTCTGCAACATAATATTAAGGATTTTTTTAAACAATTACAAGTTTGGACTGCTAAAAATATTTCCAAACTTAAACACAATAAGTAATAATAATCGACAAAAGAATGCAATTGATAACCGGAGCATAAACCAAAGTTTTTTTAATTTCATATTTTAAATGACTAAATCAACTAAAACCGGGTCATTTTCTCTAAATAACCAGGTCACTGAGTTATTTTAGTCATCTCAAGTCATTTGAGAACACTGCTATAACCATTGAAATCTGAATTAAAATCGCAGTTATATCAAACAACATAATCTGAAACTTACAACGCAGTGTTCAAGCAAAATTATGAATTCTTTTTTATCTAAAACGCATATCAAAGGTGCTAGTTTAATAATAGATCAATTTTTGAAGTCGACTAGTCTACAATTTCCTGAATTTATGGATTTTACTGTAGTAAAGTCGTATAACTAAGGTGGAGGGCACAGGGTTCTTGGGCATGCCGAGAGGCATGCTTATTTCATTTGATATTTAAAAACCGCATGTTAAATGAACGTGTTTTCTAATTGGTCAATTTAACTATTTCTAAAGATAATGTTCATATATAGTATACCTTCTATAAGTGCATATTTCTGAGGGAATATACACTTATGGAGATCAATGTCTGGACTTTAAAAAATTATTTTAAAGTTTCTTATTGTACTGATCAAATGAGACCTGTATTATTTTATCAACGACTTAATTTCAGACAAAATTATTTTATAGACGATTAATTTCAGATGAGTTCATTTCTTAGACAGTTTATTTTATTGATAGATCATTTCATAGAAGTTTGTTTTTATAAATTATACTAACCTTAACTTTAATTCTAAACCACAATGACTATAATTACTTTGTTGTGAAATAAGTTGTCAGTAAGAAACAGTCTTTGAGATGAATATGTTTATGAATTAATGTCTATAAAATAAATTTGCCTGCGAACCAAGTTGTCTGTGAAGTGATTGTCTATGAAATAAGTGGCACTGGATCAAATAACTTGTACTTATAAAAGTCATAACAAAGTGCTGTATATATATTTACGTACGGGCATGCCTGAAAGGCATACCTCTAGTCCAAGACATGGCCCCTGAGCATGCCAAAAATTTTAATGTGCACCTCACCATACGTGTAACCAATTATTTTGTGAAATTACATAATCGTTATTAAGTAATACATAGTCTAAAATTAACAAAAAAAAGGAACTGAGTATATCGATATAAAAAGCGATCGACATATAGGAATAAAAAAACCAGACCATATGGTATCACATACCCCACGATTTACCCATACTTACATATTACATCGTTTCCATCGTTTCACAACATTTTTTATCGAATATATATATATACTTGAATACACAATTACATTTAGTTAACAAAATTCTTACCCCTTAAAAAATGATAAAATTACCGAACGAATGTTATCTCAAAATATTTGAGAATTTCCAAGATGATTCTAAAAACTTATATTCATGCCTTCTTGTAAACCGACACTGGTGTAGAATTATTGTACCGATATTATGGAGTAAATTGGCAAAAAAATTAAATAATAGAAAACTTATAAATACATGCCTTTTATCATTAAATGCAGAAGAGCAAACATTATTAATCCCCTTTAAAATTCACCTTCCAAATTACCCAAAGCCGTTATTTGATTATCCAAGTTATACTAAACATGTTGGCTTTGATTTACATCATGGAGTTATTAATTGGCTTAATTATAGTGGTTATGATAAAGTTCAGATATGGACATATAGCAGTGATAGTCTTTTGGATTCCGTTAAATGTTCTTTAATTTCAATGTTTCTACGAACAAATAAGAAACTTGAATGTTTGGAATTTCTTAACTTTATTTTTAATTATGAATTAATGAAAAATTTATGTAGAAAGAGTACTATTAATTCCTTAACCCTTTATAACAATTTGATTAATTCAGAAGAAATTGCAGAGATTCTTTGTACGAACACAAGTTTAACTTTCCTACGTCTTGGAAACTGTAATATTGGTACTAAAGGAGTAAAAGCGCTAGCAAAAGCACTTTATATAAACACAACTCTAGCATCTTTAGATCTTGATGATGATAATATTGGTATTGAGGGAGGAAAAGCATTGGCAAAGGCACTTAGTAAGAACACTGCTCTAACTTCATTAAACCTTTGTAGTAATTATATTGGTATTGAAGGTGGGAAAGCACTTGCAGAAGCACTTTATATAAACACTACTTTAACTTCTTTAAGTCTTAATTGCAATAATATTGGTATTG